AGAACTTTTGAAGAAGTAATGATGGTAAAATGAGGTTTAATAAGGTGGGCCTTAATCCAAATGGTGTCCTTGCAAGAAGAGATTAGGACGTGGACCCGAACAGACAGACAGCCATGTGAAGACATGGGAGAACACAGTCATCGACAAGCCAAGGAGAGAGGACTCAGGAGAAACCAGTCTTGCTGACAGGTTGGTGTTAGACTTTCAGCCTCCAGAACTCTGAGAAAATACGTTTATGTTAAGTCTCCCAGTCTGTGGGATTTTGTTATGGCAGCTTGAGCAGACTAATATACACCATTTTTATTTAAAATTTTGCTCTTTTCAGAATAATATGTTGAACTTTCAGAAGGAGAGAACAAACCTAAGGATACTAGAGATGGGAGGGAGGGAGGGAGGACGGTTGGGGAGTGGTAGTTTGGGCAAGGGGCATAAAGAAAAATTACGATTTGTAATAATGAAATTGCTAATAAAAATGAAAAAAAATTTGGGATTTTGTTCATCATGGAGATTGTCTTCAGTCATTTCAATTTTTAAAAATATTGCATTCAAATATTATCTAACTTGGAAACTGAGTTTTTTGGTGCCCCCTTAAGTTTTGCAGCCGAGGAGGGTGCCCCACTCACTTTACCCTAGTCCTGCCCTTGTAGTTCAGGCATTTTGTGGTAAAATGTGAGGGTTCCCCATCAGTGATTCACTTTTCCTCCCACCTGTGGGTGGAACAGCCGAGGATCACACTCTAGAGATGCACACATGGATGGGCCTGGCTGGCTGGGTCCCTGTGGCCCTCGTAGGCCTGGTGGCTTATTCCTGGCATAGCAAGAGGAAGACTCCATGAACAAGGAGATGTCTTCCCTGCATCAGCTGGAGCAGAGAGAAAAAACAGGTCCTTAGACTTCTGTCCGACCCCACGGTGGTAAGGGAAATAACTAAACTGTGCCAGGGGAAAAAGGTGGTCAAATAACATTTACGAAAAAAAGTCCATGTCCAATTTTCATGTTTCAGATCAGTAGGCAACTTTCTGATCATTTTCTCTGATGTGTTTTTTTCCCCTCTGAAAAATTTCTTCTCCAGCTTCTGACTTGTATGATGAGCCCTTTCCCTTTAACTCTAGTTCTCAATTGGAAGTGATTTTGCCCCTTCTGGGAGGGCTGCCAGGTAAAACACAGGATGCCTAGTTAAATTTGAGTTTCAACTTAATGAAATGAATTACTTTTTTTAGTATCAAAATCAGAAACTCTGGGAGTGGAGGACTGGCAGTCCTTTTTTTTTTTTTTTTTTTTTTTTTTTTTTTGTGGCTGGCCCATACAGGGATTGAACACTGGACCCTGATGTTAACAGCACCATGTTGTAACCAAGCGAGCTAACTGGACAGCACATGGACTTTTATTTATTTATTTATTTTTTGTCTTTTGTCTTTTTTCCGTGTCCGGCAACGGATCGCAACCCTCAGTGTTGCCCCCGTACCGGACCGGGGACCGGCAACGGGATTGCAACCCTCGGTGTTGCTCCCGTGCCCCGCTCAGCCAGTGAGCGGGAACCGGTCCGTATGTGGGATCCGAACCCTCGGACGGGAGCGCCGCTGCGCTTCCCAAGCGGCGCACTATCCAGTGCGCTGCCGGGCCGGCCCAGCACATGGACTTTTAAGAACCACTGGTCCATGATGAACAAAACACCAAACTTTTTGTCAGTATTAAATTACCTGATCTTTTCCCCCTTGGAAAATATACACTGAAGTATTTAGAGTAAAGGGATGTGATGTTTCCAGTTTCCAACTTAGTTTCAAATTTCTCAGAGAAGTATGTATGTGCATATGATTATATAATATATACATGTATACACATTCCATACTTTCCATATATCTATACCTCTGTATGTCACTGCTTTATCTGTCATCTGTCTACCTATCTATCCTCTATCTACCAATCAATTAGGGCAAAATGTAAAATGTTATCAACTGATGAATCTAGGTAAAGGGTACACAAGAGTTCTTTATATTTTTCTTGCATTTTTTCTGTAAACTTAAACTTATGTTTTAAAAGGTTATAAGAATAAAGTCACAAACGCACAGTATTTATTCCATGTGTATGAAGAAGGTATACTATTCAAGAAATAATCAGTGTTGTTCACCGTATCAATAAAAAAAAGGACAAAAATCATATGACTATCTTGATATTTGGAGAAAAAGTTTGAAGACAAAATTCGACAACATTCAACTCCCATTTGAAAATTAAAAAACAACAAACACCTTTAGCAAACAAAAAATAGAAAGCAATTTTCTAACTGGGATAAAGAGAACCTACAAAAAAATAAAGCAATCAACTTACTTAATGGTAAGATATTAAAAATATTTCCCATAATATTAGTACTAAGAAAAGGAGGCTGCTATCATTCATTACTCTTATTCATTATTGTACTAGAGGTTCTAGCCATGGAATAAGACAATAAAAATATTAATTTTAGAAAAGAATTCTAGAAATTTTTGAACTTAAAAATAGTTATGGAAAACAGTATGGAGGTTTCTCAAACAACTACAGGTAGAGCTAACATATGATCCAGCAATCCCACAACTGGATATATATCCAGGGGAATGGAAATCACCATGTTGAAGGGATAGCTGCACTCCCATGTTCACTGCAGCTCTGTTTACAATAGCCAAGATGTGGAACCAACCTAAATGTCCATCGACAGACGACTGGATAAAGAAAATGTGGTATATCTACACAATGGAATACTACTCAGCCATAAAAAAGAATGAAATTCTGCCATTTGCAGCAACATAGATGAATCTGGAGAATATTATGTTAAGTGAGAAATTCTGACAGACGACTGGATAAAGAAAATGTGGTATATCTACACAATGGAATACTACTCAGCCATAAAAAAGAATGAAATTCTGCCATTTGCAGCAACATAGATGAATCTGGAGAATATTATGTTAAGTGAAATATTATGTTAAGTTATGTTATGAAAACATAAATACTGCATGTTCTCACTCATAATTGGCTGCTAGGAAGGAAGGAAGGGAGGGAGGGAAGTAGGGAAGAAGGAAAGAATGAAGGCAAGAAAAGACCACAACAATACCTTGAGAAGGAGAGAACAAATCTAAGGATACTAGAGGTGGGAGGAAGGGAGGAAGGGGGTTTGGAAAGTGATAGTTTGGGTAAAGGGTGTAAATATAACGATTTGTAAGAATGAGTATGCTAATAATAAAAAAATTTAAAATAAAAAAAATAAGATAATCTAAAACTATTAAATTTGACAAACGAATGTTGCAAGGCCACTGAATACACGTTCGATATACAAAACTCAATTTTATTTCTATCATACCAGCAACAAATAATAAAAATAAAATTATTTAAAGAATGATGCCACTTACAAAATAAAAATAATGTAACTAGGAATAAATCTAACAAAAGATATGGACATTATGTAGAAGACTACAAGATATTATTTAGAGAAATTAATTAAATGTCAAAACATACCACATTTATGCTTCAATACTTCCATGGATTGAAAGACTGAAGAGATGGTGATTTTCCCTAAATTTACCTATAGCTTCAATAAAATCTAATGGGCAACCAGTCAGGAATTTTGTGAAAACTGATGATCTCATTCTGAAGTTAATATTGAAATCTACAAGACCTAGAATAGTCAAGGCAATCTTGAAAGATTACAAATATGGAGAATATATGTTTCCAAATCTTAAGACCTTGTCTTCATCAATCACAGCTGGACCTCCCTGTGGGTTACCCATATTAGTTACGGTATCCCCCTTGTCCTGAGTAGAAGTTCTTAAGGAGTAAAGAGCTGGTGGTGCTTAGACAGCATTTCAAAGCCCATAGTCAGAACTCTCAAATTCCAAGCTGTGCACCAGCCCCATTTATACAACATATTTCCTGAGAACTCCCTTAGTAATGGGAACTGTGAACATAGCCCATAAATCTGACACACATTTAATTCCCATGAGGTCACAGTAGCGACAGAAAAATAGACGTTTGTGCAATATCAAGGTTCACGTACAATAGTTCCCTTATTCATGGTTTAGCTTCCCACAGTTTCAGTTCCCTGTGGTAAACTGTAGTCTGAAAATATTAAGATGTTTTGAGACAGAGAGAGAGACCACATGACTTTTATTACAGTATATTGTTATAATTGTTCCATTTTATTATTATTGTTGTTAATCTCTTGCTGTGCCTAATTTATAAATGAAATTTAATCATAGGTATGTATATATAGGAGAAAACGTAGATCAAGTTTGGTACTATTCGTGATTTCAGGCGTCCACTGGAGGTCTTGGAATGTATCCCCCAGAGGTAATGTGGGGCTACTGTACAGAGAAATAACAGATGTTTGGGGAGTATAAAAATGGTGTCTTTGTCAAGCTGGGAGATATGGGAAACTTTCTTGGAGGAGAAGTTATGTAGTAAGAGACCTGAAGAACCAGGCAAGGTACTCATGAGGAAGAGAAGACTGAGTTGTGTGGTGGTGTAGGATGGAGGGAATCCAGGCATGGCTGAGATCCACTCGGGTCTCACTTTCATAGCTGTGTGGTTTGCTTATAGCCTGCATCTCCATGGACTGCTTGTTATCTCAATGGTTCCTAAGCCATTTGATAAATGCCTATTCTATATTGGTTGTTAATGATGCTGAATGGCATCGTGAAGAGAAAGGGCAGAAGAAATAGGGATAAAAACCAAATTAGGAAGAAAATATTCCCATACCATGCTGTTAAAGGAGAAAGATTTTCAGAAAAAATCAGAATGGCTCAAAGGATGGTTTGCCATCAGTGGACACAAAAATACTTAGAACCTATAAGAGACAATGGGGTTTGTCTACAGAAGAAATTTGTCATCCTCATGCCAAATACTCTGCCTAACTTTATGCAGCTGTCCCCTTGTTTCTTGCAATGATCCCCTCCTCCATAGGTCCAATACAGAGGGCACAGAGCCCAAGTTCGAGGATCAGCTTTCAGTTCCACCTGTGGCCACTGTATCTCTCGGTCACTGTTCAATGGGTCTTTGTGTCCTCAACCTTCTTCTGAATTCCCACTGTGAAGCTCTGCTGGCTCCCTCTTGTGTCCTCTTCCTGCTGAGCCAGTCTATAATCAGGAGCCATGCTATAGCCACGAGGACCAGGAAAGCCAGGCCAATCCTAAAGAGATTCTGGGCAGTGTGATCCCAGAGGGCAAGATCTGGGGTCAGAAGAACAGAGAGATCACTGGCAGGAATGTAGGGAGACCACCTCCCCCCATCTCTCTCCCCCTCTCCTTTCTAGATCGTTACTCTTTGTCCAGCTCCTGTCTTTGAGTCTAAGGCTCCAGCTTGTTTCCTTACCTTTCTGGAATCCTGCCTCTGTGGTTAAAAAGTAGGAGTCCCAAGAGTCTGCTGAGGATAAGGAAAGGGAAGAAGTGAAGAAAAGAGGATGGTGCTGGCCTCTTCCACCCCAGCCTCTCCTTCCTTTGGATATGCAGTCATGTGCTACATAACTATGATAGTCAATGACAAACTTCATATATGACTGTAGTCCCATAAGATTGTAATGGAGCTGGAAGATTCCTATTGCCTAGTGACACTAACCATTGTAATGTTATAATGTGATGCATTGCCCGTGTGTTGTGGTGATGCTGGTGTGAGCAAATCTACTGTGCTGCCTGTCACATAATGTAGCACATACAATTACTGTATGTACAGTACCTAATACTCTATAATAATACAATGTTGCTGGCTTATGTATTTGCAATACTATCATTTTTATCATTATTTTTAGAGTGAACTACTTTTACTTATACAAAGAAATTTTCTGTAAAAACAGTCTGCTGTGTTATACCCACAGCGTCTCTAGGTTGCATCATTTTCTCTTGTCTTTGATTTAATCTCATGTTATTTTGTTCATCATGACCCGTAGCATACAAAATCCACAGCTATGGTTGCCAGTAAGAGGCCATGTCAAGTGATTGTATAACCGGCTATACCATCTAGGTGTGTGTAGATACAGTCTGTGATGTTCGCACAAAGATGAAATCACCTAATCACGCACTTCTCAGAACGTATGCCTGTTGTTAAGCAACACATGACTGTCCGTGACATTCTATAGCTTTTTGAAATCCCAACCCCACACTTCAGGATCCAGTGGCTTCATCTGACAGGTAGAGAGGAATAGTCAAAAGACAGACAAACCTGAGGAAGAGTTCAGCTCTAGAGCTAATCATTGTACGTCTTCACACCAGTCGTATCTTCTATTTGAGCCTCATTTTCATCACTGAATCAACATCATTTCTTTCTCCTCACACATAGTCAAATTCAAAGTTTTACCGTGTTGTTCAGGGTCCTAAACAAGCTGCCACAGCCACACCCCATACCCACCGTCATCTCCTTAACATCATTTTCAATCCTGGTCTCACTGCTATTCTCTTATCACCCTGGGCATCTTCCTGCCTTAGGGCATAGTCAGAGGCCATTGCCTCTCTCTGGAGCCTTTTTTCTCCAGGTAGCCACAAGACTAACTCCCTCAACTGGTAATGTATTTGTTCAGATGCCTCCTTCTCTGTGAGGCCAACCTAGACAAGCCTATTCAATACAGCAGTCCCCCTTATCCACAGTTTTACTTTCTGTGGTTTCAGTTACCTGTGCTCAACGGCGATTCAAAAATATTAAGTGGAAAACTCTAAAAATAAACATTTTGTAAGTTTTAAATTGCATGCCATTCTGAGTAGTGTGATGAAATCCCACGTGGGACGTGTATCACCTCTTTGTCCAGCATATGCATGCTGTATATGTTACCCGCCTGTTAGTCATTTAGTAACTGTCTCAGATTGTTGCAAGATCACAGTGCTTGTATTCAAGTAATTCTTATTTTACTTAATAATGGCCCCAAAGTACAAGGGTAGTGATGCTGGCAATTTGAATATGCCCAAGAGAAGCCATAAAGTACTTCCTTTAAGTGAAAAGGTGAAAGTTCTCAACTTAATAAGGAAAGAAAAAAAATTGTATGCTGAGGTTGCTAAAATCTATTAAGTACAATAAGATATTTTGAGGGAGAGAGAGACCACATTCGTATAACTTTCATTGCAGTGTATTGTTACAATTGTTTTATTTTATTATTAGTTATTGTTGTTAATCTCTTGCTTTGCCAAATTTATAAATTAAAGTTGAACATAGGTATGTATGTATAGGAAAAAACATAGTATATATAGGGTTTGCTACTACCTGCAGTTTCAGGCATCCATGGGGTCTTGGAACATATCCGCCGTGGATAAGGGGGGAAATACTGTACTGCTGTCTGGCTTCCCAATCACATTAATCCTGCTCTACCTTGTCTTTTTCTATATCATTATTTCCTCCTTTTGGGCTACATAATTCATTTACTTATCCTGACTTTAACTCATGGTCTGTCTCCTTGCACAAAAGAAACGGTATTTGTCTGGCTGACTGACATAGCTGTAGTTTATGGCATGCACTATGCATTAAATAAATATTTTGAATAAGTACCACAGTTTTAGTGTCATTGGGAGGCTTTAATCTCTCCCCTGAGCTTAGAAGTCCCAAGTTACTCACCAGGAGAAGAGGTGGGGTCTGTAGGTACAAGGCTGGTGTTCCCAATATCTCCTGAAAATGGAGATAAAGAAGAAAAGTAAGAATTATGGTTTTCCTCTGGTTTTCATATATATTCTCTGTACTTCTTCCCTGTCCATCTGGTGTTCTTCCTCATGAATGACCAACTGGATCTCTAGAAAATAGATGGCCTTCTGCCACCTTCCCTGCTACTCTCTGGGATCCCCTTAGGGCTTTCGGTAGGACATGGGGGGGGAATTTGGGGGTTTCCTCACCTGTGACCAAGAGCTTCAGGGGCTCACTGGGGAAAGACCACGCATGGTTGTTGTAAGAGCCAAAACATCTGTATGTCCCTCTGTGGGCTGTGGTCACAGGGCCCATGGGGAACTCTGCCTGGATATTCCCATGTCTGTGCTGTGTGCGGCTGGGTCTCCCCTCTTTGAGCAGAAAGAACTTGCTTGTTGCAGTCTCTAGACGGCAATAGAAGGTTACATTTTCTCCTGAGATCACCTCAGGCCTGGGATGAACTGAGAGGGTGGGTGTGTCATACATTCCTGAGAGAGAAGGCGGTAGGTAGGTAAAGAGCATCACTATCTTGCCTCCTTTATTTTCCATTTCCCTTGTCCTTAAGAGCAGATATGACTCTTGAGTGTCTCAATTCCTTCTTTTATTTCCTAGATTTGTCCTGGTCTTGGACATACCCTCCCTGATCTTTCCTTCAAGACTGGGGAACTCAGTCCCCCAGCTTCCAGGAGTGTTAATATGAATCCTCTCTGGGAATTGCCAATGGTTCTCAGAGTTTGTCCCTTGGGACCAAGCCCTCCAAGTGATCCTGGTATTTGCTTGTGTCGGAGAAGCACCTCCCTCGGCTGAAGGGAACTGTCTGACCCAAAGTTATCTTTCATCCTTAGGGGTGGTCCTCACCCAATTATGGGTTGATGCTGGGGAATACAAAGTCTCAGAGCCCCCAGCCTCATTTCAAGACTACTCTGAAGGACCATCCCAGGTCCAGCATTCCCCATTTGTTGGGCTGAGGTCTCTGTTGAAACCCTATCACAGTTCAACATCTCTTTCTGCCCAGCTTTGCTTCTCTCACCCATCATGAGTGTTATTTTAGAGGATACTTCTCAGTAATCCCCCTGCACACAAATATCCATCTCAGAATCTGTTTCCTGGAGAACTTGACCTAAGACAAATATGCTCCCAGGACATAGAGACAACTTTCCGAAGGTAATCTTTGCAGGAGGTGATCATGATTGAACAGCCCTCCAAGACAAGCAGTGTCTGAGTGGGGCTTGGAAGAGCTAAAGAATGATTAAATGATAGTCTTTCCCATGATTCAGGCTGAGGAGATGACTCTACAATTAGAGAACAGACAATTACCTGTTACCACCAGATCCAGGGGGTCACTGAGCTTTGACCAGAGTTCCCCACTCCGATAGAGGCAGCTGTATTGCCCTGCGGTGCGTGACGTCATGGATGGAATGAGGAACTTCACTTTGTTCATTAATCCAGGTGCTTTTGGTATCTTCAAGTCAGAAAGGCTTCCCTCAAAATATAATCGGTACTCAACAGCTTCATGAGTTCCTTGGCACCAGATGTCCACTGGCTTTCCCTTTGGAATCATGAAATTGGGTATGGCCCAGATAACAGGTTTTGAGAACGACTCTGGAAGGGAATCAGAGACTTAGTTCCAGATGAAAAACCCTCCCCACCCTACTTCTCACCCAGCTGCCAGCCTGAAGCCCCTCCAGCAAGCCAGAGCCCTGGCCTTCTCTCTCTAGTTGTTCTCAGGTGGATGGATATTTAGTGTGAACCCAGAAAAGTCAATCTCGGACTTTGAAAGTACTCACGCTTCAGGGTGCTGATCCTCTGGTTCAGACACAGCCCTGAAAGACAGGAATAATGAGACCTGTTGTCCCCTACCCCCCACACTCCTGGATTCTGTCTCCCTTCCACACAAGCACTCACCAAGGCAGAGCAGGGCAGTGAGTACAGAAGGCATAGCACAGATTCCACCAGGCTAATGTTGAGCAGCTGTGTGGGGAATGAGCCTAGCAGGCCAGGCAGATGCACAGGATGTGGTGGGTGAGGTCCAACTGGCCATTTGCTACGGGGCTTTCACATAGATATTTTTTACAAGAAAGTTCACAGCTTTGCCTCCTCCTCTGACCATGGGCCTAAGGAAAAGTTATGGTCTGTATGACACATCTAACCACACCTGTGGTCTAACCAGCTCCTCTGACAATTTTCTGTCCAGTCTGAAACTGTATCTGGGTCAACCTCTAAATTCTGCCATATGGAAGGCATGGGGCAGTGTACAGAGCAAAAAAACCCCTATAAAAAGAGGGGTTTTCACCTTGGTTCCCTTGTGTACAGCATGCACATGCTTAGATAAATTAATTGGTTTTTATCAGAATGGAATGACAACACTATTTTTCTTCAAAGATTCGTTAAAATGCTTCAATAAAATGCTACTTTTAAATAAAAAATACAGTAGTGCCTCCTTGTCCATCAATGGACACTGACCTTGATTTCAGCTCTTGGCTATTGTAAATAGGGCTGTGATAAACATGGGAGTGCAGGTATCCCTCTGACATGATGATTTCCATTCCTTTGGATATATACCCAGTAGTGGGATTGCTAGATGGTACAACCATTCTATCTGTAGTTGTTTGAGGAACCTCCATACTGTTTTCCATAATGGCTGCACTAATTTACGGACCCAACAACAGTGTAGGAGGGTTCCCTTTTCTCTTCATCCCTGCCAGCGTTTGTTATTCTCTGTCTTTTGATAATAGCCAGTCTAACTGGGGTGAGATGATACCTCAGTGTGGTTTCGATTTGTGTTTCCCTGATTCTTAGTGATGTTGAGCATTTTTTTCATGTGTCTGTTGGCTATTTGTATGCCTTCCTTTGAGAAGGGCCTATTCAGCTACTTTTTAATAGGGTTACTTGTTTTTTTTTTTACTCTTAAGTTCTTCAGCACTTTTAAAGAGAACTGGATAGGTATTTTACAAAATGCCTCTCAATGTAGGTTTGTCTCATGATTTCTCACAATTAGACTGGGCTGTGAATTTTTAGGAAGAGATAATGTGCCCTTATTAGGATTACATGTGACTAATAATAATCCCTTATTTGGGATTACACGTGACTCGTTGTCTAACTACCATTGGTAACCTTGGTTACTTAGATAAGGACATGCCTGCCAGGTTTCTTTATTACTAATTTTTCCTTTTGTAGTTAATAGATATTTTGGAGGAAATGCTTTGAGACTGTGCAAATGTCCTGTTTCCTCCTGTTTCACCCACCAATTTTAGCATTTATTAGTGAATCTTGACTGCAGCAATTATTACTGTGGTATTTAATGGTGATTTTCTATTTCCCTTCTTCTGTATTCATTCATTAATTGTAATTCTTTTGTCAGAAAGAGTTGTCTCTTTTATAATTATCTATTAAATCATTTTTTTTATCCATATGGACTCACAGGTATTATTTTATTCTATGGGTTTTAATCCAGTATTATCGTTATTTATTTTGTTGCTCAAATTGTTCCAGATTCCGACAGTGGAAGATATTTTGGCTTGGTTCCTGTGACTTTTTTGACAAGTCCCCAGTTTTTTCAGTGCCTCCTTTCTTTTTCACACTTAAGATACTTCAGGCCCATCTCATGTATTCTTTGCCCTAGCCCTGAATACACCACTTTTCCAGGGAGTCCTAATTTTTTTTACTAGAGAACGATATTTAGAAACTAAAATTCAAGGGCTGGCCCATGGCTCACTTGGGAGAGTGCGGTGCTGATAACACCAAGGCCATGGGTTCAGATCCCTATATAGGGATGGCAGGTTAGCTCACTTGGGAGAGCGTGGTGCTGACAACACCAAGTCAAGGGTTAAGATCCCCTTACCGGTCATCTTTTTAAAAAACAAACAAACAAAAAAACCCACACTAAAATTCAGATGATGTGTGTGTTCATTATTAATAAAATGCCACTACTTCTAGGTTCTCTCAGTGGACAGATACAGGAAATATATGTATTCATGCTAACCTGTGTGTATACACATCCACATTTATCTGTCTCTCTATATCTATATATCTACCTACCTATATATCGACTATCAACTATCTATATCACACACAGAGACATTAGTTCATCCTGATATCTCTCACCCCAACTAAACACCACAGGGTTTATTCTAGCATTCCCTTTTTTTTTTTTTTTTTTTGGAAATGAAAGGGATGTAGGGAGCTTTTATAGATTAAAGGAGACGTAAAAGATATATCAAGTTAAAACACAGACAAGTCTGTTTTGTAGTGTTTAGGAGTGAACACTTGTGTTACAAAGCCTCAAAATCTGCAAGAAAATGGTCTCAAAGATCACTTGAAGAGTCAGGATACTTTTAGAATGAGGGTGGGGCTGTGATTAGGCTCAGAGACATGGAGGGGCTTTAGTTCGTAGGAAAAGTTCTATCTATTGACCAGAATAGGGGTTACAAGGGAGTTTGCCTTAAAATATTTTTATTAATTTATACATTTTTTGGGACCGTGGCTTTCTGTATTCGTTTTATATTAAACTGTAATAAAAAAATAGAGGTAAAAAGGTGATAGAATGGGAAGCAATTAGCAATCACTCCTCCACTGCAATAATGAAATGTAGCTGGGCACATATTGCCAAGCCCCCAACCGAGACGGTGGGGATGGTGCTCTGATTAGGGTCCCTTTCAGCTCTTTGGGATTGGCTTCTCAGTCCATTGTTCCACAATTTCCTCAGTTCTGCCATCAAGCCTTTTGGCTCCACTGTGTAAGAAATCCTTCTTTTCTGAGAGATGATCTATATTGACAGATCATGAGCGCATGTCTCAGACTGCTTCCTGTTCTTTAAAATCTGGGGGCTAGGAAGGATTTTGCAATGTGAGCATTAGTCTCATTTATCCCAAAATGACAGCCTTTTTGCCCTTAAAACTTTGTTGGTTTTTTATGTATCACATTGTTCTCTTGGGCTGGCTTGAGCTCACTTGGTTACAACATGGTGCTGATAACACCAAGGTTAAGGGTTCAGATCCCCATACTGGCCAGGTGCCAAAAAAAAATTCTCTATTAGAAAAAAAGATACACTCCTAATTTTTTTGGCAATACAGCATTCTCTACTTTTTGGGCATTTAAGGATACTGTACTGTGGAACTATGCCATTAAAATTTTTACATGGTCTTAAGTCTAGCTGAGAGGGTCTACTTAACATCATCTTAAATCTTTCCAAGGTCATAACAAAGAGTCATACAGTCACACCAGAACTTCTCTACTGAGGCATTGAAATTTGGGCTGGATAATATTTTCTTGTGAGGGGCTTTTCTGTGCATCACAGGATGTTTAGCAGCAGCTCTGGCCTCTACCCACTTGATGCCAGTAGCATCCTTTTCCAGCTATGACAACAAAAAATGTCTCCAAACATTTTCCAAATGTCCCCTGCTGGGTAAAAATGGCTCCAGTAGAGAAACACTGAGTTACACTATTGGATTTTTTCCCCCTTCAGTTTAGTTCTCATTTCACTGTGAGAATATTTTAGTGGATATAAATATTGAGTGTGAAAAGTACTTTTTTTTTCTTAATCAGAAAATTCTGACCAACCACCTCCTCTATGTTTTCTCAAAACTATATTTGGTAACAGGAAAGTTTTTTTCTTTTAGGTTATCTTTCTTTTTTCATACCTTTTATAGGCAGCTAAGAAAAGTCAATTGACCTTTTCAGCATTCTTCCTAAAAGTCACATTGCCTAGGTGACAGTTTAATGAGCTACATTTTCTGTCCTCTAAGTTATTGTAGGTAAGAGTTTTAAGAATTGACGCATGTCTATATAACATACATTTTCTGTTTGCTATAGCTCTTGTCTCATTGCTATTCCAGCTTCTATTAGCGTATTTATTGCCTGTTTTCCTGTCTTTTCTAACAGTTTTCTCTCTGGTTTTTCTGTTTGTACCTTTCCCATTTTTAAATCCAATACCAGAAGATTTAGGGTTTTATGATGATAGCCCCTTGATATACATACCAGTTTCTGTATAATTATCTATTGATGCCTAATAAATTACACCAGAATTAGTGGCCTGCAGCAACCACTAGTTCCGCCTGTGATTCTGCAGTTGATAATTTGGGCTGGCTCACCTGAGAGTCTCCTCTGCTCTTGTCCACAGATCTGTGCTGCATCCTCCCATGCATGAGCTGGGTCATGTCGGGGCTGGCTCTCTTGTGTTTAGCTGGGATGAGTTGTTTCTCTTCTGTGCAGTTGCTCATCATCCAGAAAGCAGGCCTGGGCTTCTACATGTCGGAGAAGATCCCAAGAGTAGCAGGAAATAACCTGGTCCACAGTACAAGCCCTTTTAAAGCCATTGGTGTGTTAATTTTCACCAAAGCCCTCTTGGTCAAAGTGAATATCATGACACATCTCAGATTTATGATGAGGAAGCTATACGGGTGATAGGTATTGTTTTAATATGAGGAATAAGGTGAAAAGTAAACCTTGAGTTGAAATACTTTCCTTTTATGCCTGATTTTTTGAGAGTCTTTATCATGGATGGATCTTGAATTTTGTCAAATGCTTTTCCAGCATCTACTGAGATAATCATATGGACTTTTTCCTTGAGTTTGTTGATGTGATGTATCACATTTATTGACTTTCATATATTGAAACTTCTTTGCATCCCTGGGATGAATCCCTCTCGATCATGGTATATAATTTTTATGATGTGTTGCTGTATTCTGATTGCTAATATTTTGTTGGAGATTTTTGCATGTATGTTCATAAAGATTTTGGCCTGTAATTTTTTTTTTTTTTTTTTTTTTTTTTTTTGTGTGTGTCTTTATTAGGTTTTGGTATTAGAGTTATGTTGCCCTTATAGAATGAGTTTGGGAGAGTAGCTTCTGTTTCAATTTTTTGGAATGGTTTGAGGAGAGTCAGTATTGACTCCTCTTCAAAAGTTTGATAGAATTCAGCCATAAAGCTATCTGGACCTGG